TCCTTCAATGGATGGTCATCAGGAGGTCGACCGCATTCTCACGCATCGCAAGCATGGCAACAAGCCGATGCAGTACAAAGTTACATTCAAGCAATGCGATCCGAACGACACACGTTGGATTTCAAGAGTTGATCTGAAGGCAACAACACCCCTCATCTTCATGCATTACGAAAAACAGCGACTTGCTAAGGAAGCTGCCCAACCTGCCCGCCCTGTACGGACAACGGACAGACAGCTTCGCCCTCGCAGTTAGCTCGGTCTTTCAAGGGGGAGATGTGTGGCATACTGAGCCACACGGGCCCCAGTTAGGGCCCTGTTCCAGACAGGCAGGGTAGGTGTAGCAGACTGCGTAGCCACACGGGCCTGCAGGGCCCGTCCCGCATTCCCAGCCTAAAAGCCTAGAAATAAGGGCTTACAGGCCCCTGTCGTTTCGGCCTGAAAGACTGAAAAACGATGGCCTGCAGGCCCTATGTCGTTTCAACCTAAAACAGGGCTTTTCAGCCTGAAACGGAGAACCACTTTCGGGCCCTCATAAGATCGACCTGTCCTAACCCTCAGGCACAAAACCAGGGTTTCGGGAACAGGCTATCTTTAGCCTGTTCCCACGACAGCCTCAAGCAGGAGCTGCAGCGGCAGCCCCTGACTCCCTGCGGCATTGGCAAGAGCAGCCTCCTGGCCTGCCTCGCCCTGCAGTTAGGTGGCAGGCCGAGAAGTACATAGGAAGTTCCCATGCACTTCACGGTAGGTAGTTGGACAGACGGCAGGAGTAGTCTTCAGGATTCGGCCGCAGCACTCAGGAGGAGCGCTGCAGGAGTAGCTTAGCACTAGCAATAGTCTTCAGCGCTGGGTGCTAGTAGCTATAGCAGTATTCTTCAGCGTTGGGCGCTAGTAGGTGGTAGTAGTAGTGTTGAGGAGAGATGGCTGGCGGAGGCCAGCGAGACTTGCTGCGCCATAGCTCCAGCTCCATCTTCGAGGTACCTGCATCAAGGCGCCAACTTCACAGGAGAGAGAGAGAGAGAGAGAGAGAGAGAGAGAGTTCTTCTTCCTCTTCTAAGTCCACCATCTCTTCTTCCCCTCTCGCCACCTGACTTCTCAGTATCAGCGGACTACTACAGAGAGAGAGAGTTGTGACTTGAGACTCGACGACATTGGATCCAGACTCAACATTGGGATTCAGACATTTTGACGAGGGACTATTTGGGCCTGTGCCGAAGACTTGGTGTTGACGACATTCCCATCTTCCCCTCTTCTT